TCCTTCCTTCCTTCCTTCCTTCCTTCCTTCCTTCCTTCTGTTATCTTTCTTTTTCTTTTTTTGAGATAGGGTCTCCAAGTCTTTGTTTGCTATTCCCTCAACCTTACCATATTGTCCATCTTGCTTGACAAATACTTAAGTGTCTCTGCTACCTCTGCAAAGCTGAGAGTCCTTCCCAACCTAACTCATAGCCGTTGCTACTTATTTTAGTTCTCACAGCAGTGTGTGTGTGTGTGTGGGGGGGTACTGGGATTGAACCCAGGGCCTCATGTGCTAGAGAAGTGCTGCAGCACTGAGCTACATATCCATCTCAGAGCCATCTTTTTTTGGCAGTGGAATGGGTGGAATCCAGGGCTTGCTCATGCTAGGCAAGAGCTTTCCCACTGACTGGTACATCATGTACCCAGCCCTCACAGTAATTGTAACTAGTGCCTGGCATTCGTTTAGCACCATCCTGCCAATCTATAATAATTGTCGCCTGACCAGATCATTGTTATATCCTCAAGCATCCAAAATAGCGGTCAGCATGTAGAAGGTGCTCAGTAAGTGTTTCTGGATTGAAGTATACATGAATGGCATACTTCTGTGGCTCAAGGGAGGATCCCAGTAACTGGATGGTGTGCCTTTGTCTTGGTTATTTTTTTTTGTTGTTGTTGAGACAAAACACCCAATGCCTAAAATGAAGGAAGGAAAGGTTTATTTAGCTTATAGTTTGTGGAAGTTTTAGTCTATATTTGGCTGGATCTGGGGCAGAGTGGCACATGGCAGAGGGCAAACATTTATGGTGGCAGAACAGAGCAAAGCAACAAGACCAAAGGGGGGAATGGCAGCCGAACAGCAATGCAGCCAGAGCAAAAGGGAGGAATGGCGGCAAGCAGCTTTTTTTCCTCCCTTACATTGTAAACAAGCTACCCACACCTAAGGGGCGTGTAGCTCTCACATAATCTCTATGTCCTCCTCTTTTATAGACCCAGGATGTATATAAAGTAAGCACCCTGGCTTCCTGCTGAGTCACTTAGCCAAACCTATAGACTCCCCAAGGTGACACAACGTATCAACCATAACACTCTACCCCTTGTCAACTTGGCAACCAGATATATTTTTTTAAACCAGTTTTTAGGTATAAAGACATTATATTTTATTAGAACCATAACATTTTACCCCCTAAAGACTCATGTACATCCCCTTATGTAAAAGGCATTTAGTCATCTGTAAGAGTTGTCAAAGTCTTAACAGTTGAAGCATTGCTGAAGAGTCTAAGTCTCAAGTCTCCTAGATGTAAGGCAAACTCTTAGCTGTGACCCCCTGTAAAAATGAAAAGTTAAACACTTTTAACATTTAATGGCGCAAAATAAGCAGTATCATTATAAAAGGTGCAAATGGGGATATAGAGCATTGGGACCAAAGCAAATCTAAAATCTAGCAGGGCTAATATTATGTCCTGTAATTTTATATGTAGCATCTGAAGCATCTTGTGGCACATTGTGAGCTCTAAAGGGTTTGTATGAGTCCATCCCTATGGCACTTTTAGTGGTTACAGCTTTTATGGGTTTTTTTTTAGGCCTGCTTTGCTCTCTCCTTGCAGCTTTTTTTAGATGATCTATGGTCCTGGCTTTTTTAAACTTTGGAGGTCTCTAGTGCACCTTTTGCTTTACACTCACAGCCTCACACACTGCCTCCTCAGGGGCACACTGCCCGGCCTCCCAGGCCTTTTGAAATCTGGGTGGAAGCCTTTTTATCCTCAGAACTCTTGTATTTTTTATGCACCTAAAGCCAGGGCCACAGGGATGATGTCAAGGTCTGTTGTCACCTGGAGCAGTAGCCAATTTTTTTTTTTCTTGGCCACAGGGGTCGAGTGCCTGGATCGCTGGGCACTGTGAATCCAATTTTGAGGAACAAATTTTTTATGCTGCCGCCATTTTGGAACCTGGTGTGGCCGCTGCCGCCATTTTGGAACATGGCGCTCAGCAGTTTTTTTTTGTTTTTTTTTTTTTTTTTTGGGGGGCGCGGGGGGGGGAGGTGGTGGTTTGGTTTTTCTCCGGTACCGGGAACCGAACTCACGACCTTGCGCTTGCCAGGCAGGCGCTTTTAGCCGCTGAGCTAAATCCCCAGCACCTCCCCCCTTTTTTTAAGCAATGGAGATCTCCTCAGCTGTACCTTTGCAGTCTACAGCTTTATTGGAACTTTTTTTTTTGGCCAAACTCACAACATTTTAAATCATCTTGTTGGGCTCTTTGTTTTTGATTTTTAATATAAATCTTGCTAAAAGCCCCCAACAATAGCCATGCCACTTTTTTAACGTCTGTCTTGAAATTTTTTTTGCTAGATTAACCAGTCTATTGCCACCCTTAATCTCAGTCTTAGGCAAAGTCTCTGGACACGAGCAAAATGTAGACAAACTTTTTGCCAAGCCATAACACACACTGTCTGGAGTCTAACAACCAATGAAGTCTTTTTTTCCAGCAGAAACCTCTTGAACCTGGTCTTTACCTGCAGGATTTTTATCAGCCTTTTGGTCTTTGGAACTCTGACCAGAATCTCCCAGACAGAACAGCCAAAGGTGTTCTAGCACTTTTTTTTAAGGTGACATTTCTGAACCTTTTTGAACATTTTTTATAAGCCATTTTTAAAGGCTCTTGAACCACATGGTCAAGTATAGTCACAGCAATAACCCCACGCCTGGTACCAAATTTTGTATTGGTTATTTTTTTGTTGTTGCTGAGACAAAACACCCAATGCCTAAAATGAAGGAAGGAAAGGTTTATTTAGCTTATAGTTTGTGGAGGTTTTAGTCTATATTTGGCTGGATCTGGGGTAGAGTGGCACATGGCAGAGGGCAAACGTTTGTGGTGGCAGAACAGAGCAAAGCAACAAGACCAAAGGGGGGAATGGCAGCCGAACAGCAAACAGCCAGAGCAAAAGGGAGGAATGGCGGCAAGCAGCTTTTTTCCCCCCCTTACATTGTAAACAAGCTACTCCCACCTAAGGGGCGTGTAGCTCTCACATAATCTCTATGTCCTCCTCTTTTATAGACCCAGGATGTATATAAACTAAGCACCCTGGCTTCCTGCTGAGTCACTTAGCCAAACCTGTAGACTCCCCAAGTTGACACAACGTATCAACCATAACAGCCTTCTATACACCTTTTCTGTTATTGTTGTTTTTTTTGTTTAATGGTTTTTTTTTATTGTTTTTTTTTTTTTTTTGGTACTGGGAATTGAACTCATGACCTCATACTTGCCAGGCAGGCACTTGTGCCTCTGAGCTACATCCCTGGCTTCTTGTTGTTTTTGAGACAGGGTCTCACTTGTAGTTCAGGCTGGCCTTGAACTCTTTATGTAGGCCAGGCTGATCTCAAACTCACAGCAGTCCTCCTGCCTCAGTCTCCCTAGCGCTGAGATTACAGGTGAGCACCACCACACCTGGCCAGAGAGCAGATCTT